GGCCTCAAAAGAGACGATGAAATAGGGCCTTGCCCGAATCCCTCCTCACACCAAACCACCTAGGGTCCGAATACAACCGCTCCGTTCAAGGGTTCCGAAAACCACTTGCGCAAGACTTTGACATAAATATGTGATTTATGTGATTGTATCAGTGTTGGCCATCTTTCAATTGCTAATCTTTTAGTCATTGTTCATGGTTGGTTTAGTGTATTTCTACTGGGCTGTGGCTCACCCTATATGGGAATATCATTTTCAGGTGCAGGTAGCATGCCACCTCCAAGGACATAGCTTGGGATGCTAGAGGCGGACATGTTTTGTTGTTTTACTTTTGATGTATTACATGTAACTTCAAGCCAAGGGCTTAATGTGTAAACGAGTTAGTACTCTTTTGTTGTAACCAAGTGTTAACTTGGAAAGCTGTAAGCCCGTAGGGCATTTTGTTTTGATGTTAACATGTAATACTTATGTAACGGAACTCTAATGAATAAAAGAATGTGGTTAGATTATATGTAAATGCATGTCTTATCTGATGGGTTTAATGTTGTTATTTTGAGGGCGTTACATTTTTGCCTAAAACAAAACACCCTTTATTCTTTGAACTTATTCTAACATTGCATTTGCTAATAGTATTATATCAACTGAAACTGAACAAATACTGATCATATTATTATTGTTACATTACTGAACTTGTCATGGATGATGTGTGATTTAGAATTTTAAATTCTTTAATGAATATGGAGTTCTAGTTTAGGATTTTGAATATGTGCTTGTGTTAGTTTATGATTTAATTTAAGATTTTGAATGATTTGTTTGTGTTACAAATTGATTTTATTGTATTTTTAATTTTATAAGTTTTAATTCATTAATTATTAATGTTGGAGCATTTTAAAAAATGAGGAGAAAATGGCCAAAAATAAATATTTACAAAATGGGGAAAAAATAAGGCTCAAAAATAAATTTTTGAAGAAAAAAGTCCAATCCGCAAACCGCCTACACGAATCGCATTACAGGCGATTTGTCTTTTCTCCCAACCGTATAGATACAAGTGAGTCTAAACCGATCTGTAAATCGTCTAAATCTGAACCCCGCCCTTAATAGTGTGCATCACCCTATATATTATTGATTTTTTCTATTTTATTCAACATTCATCATTGTACTAACTTTAAAGTTATTATCGGAAAAAATAATGAAAGGAGTAGTGTAGTGTACATTCAAAAACTGTTGAAAGACGTCGCCTGAGAGATTCGAACTCTCGCGGGGAAACCCCATGTACTTAGCAGGCACACGCCTTAACCACTCGGCCAAAGCGACGCTCGTGATGCAGTCGTCCCAAATCGATATTAAATTTATTACATGTTGTAACTGAATTCAGTGTAAATTTCACTTTCTAACCCTGAACTATCAATTAAGTTCAGTAAATCCTTAATGTATATAAATAAAAAATCTATTTAATTCCTGAACTTTCAATTGAATTTATTAAGCTTTAAAAGTATTTAATTCATCA